ATTGGATCTCTTGAGAAAATAGAATAGCTGGTTGATGGTTCACCCATTTTAAGGATGGGTTTTTTTCGGCGACAGAGATCTTCTCAGGTTGAATAGGAGAAATCGAAGAGGAAACTTTGAACTGAGAGGCAAACGAAGGCTTGGGATCTACTGGGAGTGGCAGCGCTCATCTCAAGGCAAACTTSCATATAATTAATTACACCATTCATTAAATAGTGGACCTATTGTATTGGTCATGTATTCAATCTCACATTCATATTAACCTTTTATCTATTATAGTTTCAGTTGCTGGACAATAGCCTTTTATTCAATATAAAAGTTATCCGTTTAAGTTTTATTTTGAATTTTTGTGAAAGTATGGCTACAATAACTTGAGGGTAAGACTATGCTACCTAAATTACATTACATAAAACAACATTTAAGGTTGCATTTGACATTTCTTATTTTAACAATTTATCTCGTTTTAGTAGTTAAAAAGTCGGTGTTCATAAGGGTATTTTAACTGAGAAAAGGAGATAAATCCTTAAAATAATAAGAAATACTAAAGCAGCATTAAGTGTCCATTGGGTTTGGTTTTTCATCAGAGTATACCTCAAATTCTAATCTTTCGGATTAAGTAAGAGCAGGGGCGGAGCCGGAGGGTGGCGGAGGGGAGCCATTACTCCCCCTAAGCCTTTAAAATTCCCACAAAGCCATTTAAATTCCACTTATATTTTGACCTCCTTACCTATGTTTCTTAGCTTTTGACCCCCTATTCATGTTTTTTTAGGTTTTGACCCCTCAAGAAAAAATTCTAACTCCGCCCCTGCGCAAGAGTTTTTACTAATACATGTACCATCATAGTTGATTCATCATGCATCTCATCATTTTTCTTTCTTTGATAAGAAAACAATAAGAACAACAAAGTTTTTGTCTTTTTCTTTATGTACTTCATGGTATTAAAAAATGTTTGTTTTGGGGTATATACAATAATGTCCATATGACATGTTAGTTGGCTCACATGCCATGTAGACAGTATCATTAGAGGTGTAATGTGGGTTGTGTCGGGCCGGTGCAACCTACTTTTGTGGGCTACTCGTGCCATGGCAGCCTGTGTTGTGTTGGCACACAAGCTTGGGTGGGCCATGCTTGATTGGCCCGAAATCCCTTAAAGGTCAAGTCTGACATGACCCACGACAGGAACCTAGGTGAGCCCGTGCAATGTCAGGTCGTGCCTCGGGCTTGGGTTGAGTCGGGCCAAGTCTTTTATATTTTGTCATTCTTTTTCATTTTTTGCTATGTAAAAATGACAAAAATTTAACAAAATACAAAATAGACAACAAATTAAAAAGAAAATTTTAGAAAATTTATTTTATTCGAATTAATGCAAAGTAAAAAAATAAATTGAAAAATTACAATAAATTTGAATAAAATATAAAAAATATATAACAAAATTCAAAATAAAAATTTATAGTGGTATTAAAAAAATCATAAAAAACTTTTAAATAAAACTGAAAAACAAAATTTGTAATAATTTTAAAAATGTTATACAATTATTGAGTATACAAAGAAAAATATTGACTTCATTATTTTCTTCAACTTCAAGTTCCACCTCATCCATCTCCTTGATCTTGTTTGCATAATCTACTTCTGGTGAAGCATGAATTGAAGTGGCATGCCCACCCAAATCTTGTAATTTGTCTTCAGCATCCAACCAATCCTTCAAACATATGCATATCTCTAGGCTTTCATCATTCATACAGTTTCTCTTATTGTCTAATACCCTAGTATCTACACTAAAATAAGATTGATGAAATTGTGTAAATCGGAGGGGTTAGTGGATCACTTATCATAGTGACAAACACTAGATAATTTTTTCTTTATCATGCTCTTTCCATCATATTAAAATATCAAAATTATTTAATTCTTCAAAGGTAGAGAATCTATTAAATTACTAAAATTAGTTTGTAAACAAAAATGAAGTTTTGTAAGTAAACTTGATGATGGATTAGTAACAGATTGTTGTCTTTTATTTAGTAGTGATCCAACTCTATCTCTTCCATTACCAGAACTAGTGGTTCTAATAGTGATTTTACAAGTTCTTCTATGTCCTAATAATTGAGATTCATATACACTATGCATTTTAAATAATAAATTATTAATTTTATCTTTTATGTTCCAATCACACATTTTATATTTGCACAATAAGATTTAAGTAAAACATCTAAATCATGTTTTCTAATCCTACAATCTGACACTGCAACTAAGCAATATAGAGGAGAAATATTTTCTCAATATTATTTTAAATTTAACTTCCATTACATTAATAATATTTTGAAATTATAAAATATTTCTATATTTAAAAAAYATTCACTAATTATAAATAATTGAGTAACTAAAATACAAGAAGTTGGATAATAAACACTCCAAAATACATTAGTTGTATTATAAAAGAAATTAAAAATCATTTATACAAAACTACAATTTCCCAATTATCATCAGTTATAAAATCATGGGGCATTTTCTCGTTATAAAAATTAGTAAGAAAATCTTTACATGAAATACAACTCCTTAACATAGAATAGGTGGAATTCCACCTATGTTAACCATTTAATACAAAAGTTCTATATTTTAGACCATATTTTTTTACATAAATATTTAAATTCTTATTTTCTTGTTCCAAAACCTCTAATATACATAATTCAATTTCTAATTTTAAAAATATGAAGATAAATAATATTTAAAACATCTTATACACATAAAGTTAAGATGTGAGGTGCAATTCTATACTAAGAAATAATTTGCTATTTAAATATGGTCTTAATTGAGATTTTAAAATATTTATTATCAAATCATTATTATTGATAGTATCAAAACTAATAGAAAAAAATATTTTTAATTCCATAAATATGTGAAGTATTTAATATACTAACAACAAAAAGGTCCTCAACTTATATAAACAATTAGCAGATACAAACTATTTAATTAATTCTTGTCTCATTTTTATTGGGAATAGTCAAATTTATCAAAAAGCTCACACCCAATTTGTGTTTGATTTTGATTATTTTTATTTTTTTAGATGATTGGCCATATGTCTAACCAAACGATCAATATATACTACCATTGCTACTGTAACTAAAATCACTTTTACATTTTATGTAAATAATTATTTTAATTAATTTTCCCCCTCAAGAGTTTCTATAGTAAACATTTCTCAAACTTGGCTACAGGTCTTTTTCTTTCCACTCCTAGTAGCACTGTTAGGGGTGGCTTTGACAACATCAACCATAGAACCACTAGTACCCATATTGATGTTGTCGTATTGTGACCAGACATCCTTGAAGTTGAACATATTGAAAAGAGATTTTGAGAGAAACCAACCAATTTTAAAATTTATAGTATTAAAACCCTAAAAAATGAAAAATTAATTACAACTTACCCAGTCCACCGGTCCACAATCTGGACTTGATTTCAATTGATGAAGCTTCTAAGCCTCTCAAATTATTAATTTGAGACACTTAAGCAAGCCTTTTTGTTGAAACTTAAATGAAGTTGAGAATTAGGGATTAGGGAACAAGATATTAAGAAAGTATGAAAGTGTATGAGAGAGTATGTGAGACTATGTAATTATATAAGAATAGGGTTCAACTATGATATTGAAGAGACATCATATCCGAAAAACTTGTTACTAGATTTGTTCATGGGCTAGGTAGCCCAACGGAGCAGCCTGGCCTGACTTGTTCTAAGTCGGGCATGGACATGCATTTTAASCCCACGAGATCATGCTCGGGCCTAGTACACCAAACTTGACCTTCTTTCGCCCCAGGCTCGGGCTTTCTTCAAAAAGCCCGAGCCCAAGCATGAGTTGATAATATATTATATGATAAAAAATATATTTTATATAATAGAAAATGCATATATATATATATATATAATATGTTTCTCTTTGTTCCTCTTATATTTTTTCAAGTAACAATGAGGATTTTTGCTATTTTTGGTTTTTGAGATCTTTTAATATAAATAAAGCAACTTTTTATTGAATAAAGGAAAAAAAACCCTTTTTTTTTCAAATTTTTAATCAGCCTTAAGCTCAAATCCTAGGCTCGATGATCAAGCTAGACTCAAACTCATACCTGAATATATTATGTTAATATAAAAAAAATAAATAAATAAAACCCAACCCAACCCATGTACAAACCTATTTCTGAACTAATATTAAACAATCAGATGGCATTTATCAAAATTCACGGATGGCCTTTAATTGGTCAAAAACTCCAAAAGTGGAATTGTGAAAATTGGCATGATAAGAATGGGAATCGTTCAAAAACCGTACACAACCAACTTTAGAACTCTATCATGCAACAAGTTATTTGGCCTATAACCACATTCACAAAAAGATCCATTTGATAAAAATTATAACATGATTGGGATGTACATACATATCCAATTCTTTTATTTAGTATTCAATGCAAATGCCATTTCATTCATTAATTATGGGGATACATCCACATCAACTTTATTATAACCTTACACATCATCATTATACATCGTTTATTAAAGAAGGAAACCTTGTATGCAACACCTTTTTGGCTTGCATGTTTAACAAAGTGGACCCAAATTTTCAAACATACCCTCAACCTCTGAAGGTTTTTCAAACACGTGGCTAGATCCCCTCTCTCGGAAAAAGGTTTAAAAGCATTTTTTTTATAACTTTTCTAAACAAGTCATTTTATTTTTCTTGAATAAAACAATTAAGCCTATCTTTGAAGAAAAAAGATAATAACAATTTCTAATTTTAGTTCAAATCAATGTTTAAAAAAACAATTCGAAATCGGAACTGGCCACCGATCTCTGGGTCAACAATTCAATCGTCCGGTTCAAACAGATGATCCATTTTGATAAAATAAATTAAAAATAAAAAATAATTAAAATTTAAAAATGGCTAAAAACCGTTGAATAGGTCGAACAGGCCGATGATTCGACTGCCTAWATCAATAATTTGTTAACCAATTCAATAATTTTTGACCAAAGATTAGGTTTAAGATATCAATTGCCAAGATAGTTCTTAGACCAAAATGGTCCGACCATCCGGATCAACGACAGTTCGAAAACCATGATTCAAATATCACATTAAAATATAAAATAGTTAGCCAACCCTAATCCAAAAACTAGAGAACTATGGGCTTAAAAGTTATTCAGTGATATTCAGTCCTTCACGGTTAAAAGTTAAAAAACTGCCATGTGAATGGGCCCGTGCAAAATTCAGTAACCCTTTGGCTGATTCTCTGGCTCCGGCTTTTCGCAAGGGCGGCGGCTGGACCAACTTTATTCCGGTTCAGCTCAACTACAGTGTACTCAATTATATCCTAATAAAGTTCACCGTTATTTTGTTTTATATGCTTTCTCAGGTGTTCCGGCGGTGACGGTGGCGGAGCAAGATTGGGGGGTCGGGGTCCCGGACACAGAAACTTCCTTTAAAGCTGACTGTGATGACGAGATGCAATCGAACCAATTATTTTTCTCTTTTTTCTCTCTTATTTATTCGGTTTATTATCTCCACCGATTAACCCTTCTGCCTTTCACTTCTTTTCAATAATAATAAATCAGTTAGATGCCTTTGTCTTCTCTTCTTTGTATTTTTCCTGAAAACCCAACTCATAGAATCCCTCACTCTATTCCTTCTGAACTTCTTCTTCTTGTTCAGAGCCTCCAGTTTACAGGACCAGAGATGGGTGTCTTCGGGTGTTCGAGGTTTTTCAACTTCAGTGTATCTCTGTTTTTCTTCTTTTCTTTATGTCTGAGCACGTCAATGGCGGATGATGGAAGAAACACCTCTGCCCCAAGCAGCATGGAAGGAGATATCTCTACAACGAATCTTCAACCTCCACCTCCCTCTGCTTCTGTTGCGAAATCGAATATCACTCCTTTCAGGCCGAGTATTGCCGTAATCGTCGGCGTCCTGACGACCATGTTCTCTATCACATTTCTGCTTCTTCTGTATGCAAAACACTGTAAACGGAGCAGCGGCTTTGGTGGGTACGCAGGGAATCAAAGTTCTGGGTTCCCCGGTTCGTATGCAGCGAGGAGGAACTCTGGGATCGACCGCTCTGTGATCGAGTCGTTACCCATTTTCAGATTTGGGTCTCTCAGGGGACACAAGGAGGGGCTCGAGTGCGCCGTTTGTTTAACCAGGTTCGAAACCACAGAGGTGTTGAGGCTGCTTCCCAAATGCAAGCACGCGTTCCATGTCGAATGCGTTGATACCTGGCTCGACGCTCATTCCACTTGCCCTCTCTGCCGCTACCGAGTCGATCCAGAAGATGTTCTCCTGGTCGATGAAACCAAACTCGTCGAACAAAACGAACAAGAAGTAGTGAAAGAGGCGAAATCGGCAGAAGAGAAGGACAGCCCTCACAGTGTTGCAATCGTAGTAGAGGAGCTCCAGAAGGGAAGAGAATCCGGGCCTGGGTCCGGTTCAGAAACTCGAGGTCGCAACTCGGCTGCTGAAACCCCAGCCCCGGCCCCGGCCCCGGCCCCAGTCCCAGCTTGGTATCGAAGAATATCAGGTCGGCACTCATCGGCCGGCGAGAGAACGAGTCGGTTCATGCAAATCGTCGTGCACCGGCCCAGCGATTCGGAGGCGCACGACTCAAGAAGATCTCTCGATAGCGTGAGCCTGAGGAAGAAGAAAGAGTCCGTGTCCTCCGTGTCCGTCGGATGCTTCGACCGTGGCCGGAAAGATCGCCTTCTGTTGCCGGAATCCACACCCGACCGCAATCGGGAGAGCCTCGAACGTCGATTGGAGCATCGGATCATCATCTCCGCTGGCAATCCAACTGGGCCCCAGTTCGAACAACGGTGGAGCGATCTGCAGCCGTCGGATCTACTATTCCTGCGGTCGGAGATGATAATCACCGAGAGCGGCCGATACTCGGCGTCGTCGGGCTCTCGACCGTCGATCTCATCCCCGAAGCATCAACGTCATAATTATAACCGACAGCAGAGAAGGGAGACGGACATTGATGGGAATGGCAGAAGCGTAATAAATTCGAGAAGCGTGTCGGAAATCACGGGCTTAAGCAGGTTCTCGAACAGAACGAGCAGCGAACACAATCAGAGTCATCATCAGGGCCAAGAGCGAAAGGCCAGCGTTGTAAACAGATGGTTAGCATGGGCATCTCAGCTGAGACGTACGTAATAGGCGTACAGTAGACCAAAAGATTTTGCCCCTGAAAATCACTATTTTTACAACAGAACCAAATCCTTTAGTACTACTGTACTACGGAAATCCACCGGATTAAGAAGCTTCTTCCTCTCGTTCTCCTTCCTTCCTCTTGTTCTACTGAGTCGGGGGGGCGGGGGGAGGGTACGAGTCACGAGTCAGGCGTGAAGGGGGGATGGGTGGGGTGTCTCGAGAGGCGTAAATGCTGGTGGACGCTTTTGCGGGGAACTGCCAACTGTAAAAGATTGTGAAAGGAAAATGTGGGGGAAAGTGAAAGGATAGAGGTGAGGAGTTTGGGAGTTGGAATTTGGAAAGGTGGAAGGATTTTGTCTAGATTAGTGTTTTGGACGTTTGTGGTGGCAGCAAAACAGAGGGAGTCGTGATTGTTTCTGGGTCATGTTATTTGTTACGTATGTGACAAACCAAAAACCAAAAGACCTACAAGGAAAAGGAGAGCTCGTTTTATGAAGTAAAATTGCTTTGGATTTGTAGGGTTTTTTTTTTATTTTTTTGGTACGAATCACGAAAAGTGAGATACCTGGGTGTGGATGAGTGATTGGGTTTGTGTGGGTTTTGCAATGGGGCTTCTAGCAAGGCTTCCATCCAGCCCATGGGTCAGAAGATTGGCCCTAGGCCCGCCCATTTTGTCCATTTCGGGTCTTTTTTTGCCTTTTATATATCTTTATTTATGCTTGAGTTACACAATTTAAGCTTAAAGTATTTAACATCTAAGGCTCATTTTGCTCTAGTAGGAATTGCAAATTCTGGTTCAGTTTTGCTTCAGATTTGCACTGGTGGAAAAAGATTGCACTGCATTTGAATAAAATGATAGAACTTAACCTATGTTATTAAATGGATATCTTCAAAGATGTGTTGGATGCAGTTTATACATGTAAGCAAGGTTCAAAATAACGACATACCCGATGCGCCGGCAGTATAGGCATATCGGGTGAATCGATACTGTTTTTTTAGTGGTTTTTTTTTTTTTCCTGAAACTGGTTCAGGGGCGTATTGGAGAGGTCCCGGAATGATACGTATCGATCAATATGGGCCGATACATGTCGATACTTTAAACCTTGCATGTAAGAACTGAATTACTAGGAGAGTAGGAGGGAGTTGCCTTCAGGCCATATATATATAGAGAAGGTTCACTTCTTTTGCCAAACAATTATCTTACTATGTAGCTGTGGCAACAATATAAATCGACAAACCTAGAAATTTAACAATCTTCCTGAACTTCTAACAAATGATAGAGTTGACAAATCATGAGAGGAGATTATTGAGAAGAATTTGTATAAGAGATGAGAGAATTTGAATCTAGGGGCATAATTATAGTTAGTAGTTATAAACTAGAGAGGTTATGAATAACCAATCCTATGGGAAAGCACGGATGTAATAAAAATACAAGTGATATTTGATACTTGATAGCACTGAATCAGGCTCTGAAGTTTAATACTTTTCAGCCTTTGGTCCAGTTTGAGATGTGGTCTTAACAAATTTGATTCAAGAATTCAGCTCTTTTTGTTATATTGGTGACCGACCCATCATGGAACGTGGTCAAATGCATTTCAGGCATAGACCATTTGCCAAATTTCCCTCATGGAAAATGCCCACTTGGTTTTAGAGTCGCCATTCACCATATTAAGGGTGATGAGTCCTGTAAAGAAGATAAAGACTTGGCTAGATAACCTCTTATTCACTATTAACCCCTGTAACTAGCTATTTTGCACAAAGTACAAGACACAGAAGTAAATGAGGAAAAGAACCATTAAGAGCAACGTAGAAAGAAAAACTTGTTCATTAGGGGTGATCATTCTTGACCCAGCCCACATCAGGACTAGAAAAGTTTGGGCCAGTCTTGGGCCCAATACTTCAAGCCCGGGCCAGGCCCAGCTTGGCCCACAATATAATATAATACGTATTTTTAAAAATATATATTATATATATATATACAAATATATTTTATTTATACTAAATGTTTATTATTTTACATAAGATATAAAAATTTTAAGTATAAAAATTAAAATATAAATAAATATTAATTAGTTGACACATTCAATACATGTTAGTGTATGAGGTGTCCCTTGGGAAATATTATATACGGGACTTGTTCTGAACATGTATGTGACGCGGGTGCGCTTAGCTGAAGATTGCTTACTGAAAATTTGRTGACTTAATCGCGATTTAGTTACATCATAAGTGAAATGAAAAATAAGAAAAATTGCGTGTATCCCGTAATGATGGGTTTCTTGTGTGCAAGGGAAGATAGTTTCAAAAATTTGCTCAGTGTTGTGTGAATTTTATAAGTACCGTTTGTGGTCCACATTGTCTAACTGCTTCTAGTTTCGCCCTTATTCCAGTCGAGTATTGATACAAGCATGGTGAACTTTATCGTAGTGCATTAGAGAAAATTGAGCGATGTTATTATGTCGTGCTGAGATGCTAACCGAACTCGAATGGTGTGATGTGGGTGAGTAGGTAACGGGTATGTTCATAGGAAGGGGTTGTCCATCATCGCAACTTTTCTCATGTCTGGGGTCTCTGGGGGCCCTACACGGGCGGTACGGTTAAGGTTTGATCGTAGTATGAATAGTTGGCATAAGTTAAAACTTCTTCGCAACAGTGTTGCTTTTGTGAGTGTGGTCATTGCATTGCATGGGAGGGTTATATCAGCCTTCCCGTGGGGGAAGATATCTACCAGTCGATATTATTGTTGCTTTTTCGGCGAGGTGTCCACGCCAATGTATTAAGCAAGTGGGGTTTATCCCCCTTTGAGATCATTGCATTATGAGTTAGACAAAGTGTCTGCAGTTATAGAATGTTTACCGATTGTGTCTTTATCATCAGAGCCCCTCCACAAGGGTTGCCTGGGGGTGAACCTTAGGTGACCAGGTGATATGAGTGCAAGCCCGGGTTTGTCAAGGCCTTCACATGGAGTATGAGACATCGTGGAACCGGACACGGTATGAGAGTGCCTGGTGCTGCCAGGGCTTTGGCTGTGCTTGGGGTTGCTAGGGCTTTGGCTGAGCCTGGGGTTGTTAGGGCTTTGAGAGTGCCTAGGACTGCCAGGGCTTTGAGAGTGCCTGGGACTGCTAGGGCTTTGATTATGCCTAGGGCTGCCAGGGCTTTGAGAGTGCGTGGGACTAACAAGGCTTTGATTGTGCTTGGGGTTGCCAGGGCTTTGAGAGTGCCTGGGACTTCTAGGGCTTTGAGAGTGCCTGAGATTGCCAGGGCTTTGAGAGTGCCTGGGGCTGCCAAGGCTTTGAGAGTGCCTGAGATTGCCAGGGCTTTGACTGTGCCTGGGGCTGCTAGGGCTTTGACTGTGCCTGGAGCTGCCAACGCTTTGACTGTGACTAGGGCTGCCTAGGCTTTGACTGTGCCTGGGGCTGCCAAGGGCTTGCCCGGGGTTGCCAAGAGTGAATGCAAGTGTGGAGAGCTAATTTCAACAAGTTATAATATTTAGGTCATTTGGTTACTATCACAATATATAGATGCATGTAAGCTTTATCGTAAAAACATATGAAAGGAAAGAAACTTTATCGCAATCTGAACCATATGAAAGGAAATAACCTTTACCGCAAAATGTACGAGTTGTTGATGCATGCATTACTAATAGAGTTCAATAAGGAAGCAGGTATACTGAAACATTGCACATTTATTCATAAAATGGGTACATGTAATGGTGGAATTACAAAAATATAGATTTAGTCGGAGTAGGGTTTCAACTAATAGTCGTTGATTATTTTGTCCTCTTCTTCTGAGTCTACAACTTTTAATACATAGAGGCCTGAAGTATGGGATTCTTTTATCAAATACGGCCCTTCCCATGTTGGGGCGAATTTTCCTGCAGACTTGCCCTGCCTTACATTGATCGCTGTCTTTAGTACTTTATCTCCTTCTGGGTCTTAGATGTCTATTTAAGTTCATGGCTAGGGCCTGTTTATACTTGATTTGTTTTTGTGAGGATATGTTTCTAATCTCATTGATTACCTCGAGCTTGTCTGCAAGTAACTGATCCATGTCCTCTGTCCTAATTTTCTTGCCCATCGTGAAGGCTACTCTAGCGGATACGGCTTGTATCTCTGTTGGGAGTATTGCTTCTTGACCGTACACCAATGACTAGGGTGTCACCTGTGTACTCTTTCTGATAGAGGTGCGGTAATCCCAAAGGGTTTCTGACAACTTCTCTGCCCAATCCTTTTGGTTATTGGCCACTGTTTTACTTAACATCCTTAGTAAAGTCTTATTTGTGGCTTCTGCTTGTTCGTTTCCTTGTGTGTAATATGTTGTTGATGTTCCTAATCTTGCACCATACTGCCCTAGGAGGTCAAGAACTTCTTGGTTTTTGATGGAAAGGCCATTGTCTTTCAGTATCCGCATCGGGACTCCGAATTTGTGGACTATGTTTTGTCTTAGGAAATTGGCAATGTTCTTTGCGCAGATTCGTCTTAAGGGTATAGCTTCTGCCCATTTGGTGAAATAGTCTATAGCCATTATGATGAAACAGTACCCTTTGGAAGGCGGGTGTGTCGTGCCTATGAGGTCTACACCCCAAGTATGGAATGGCCAAGGTGTGATGACTGGATGGAGACTGTTGGCAGGTTTATGAATTCTTTCGCCATGGACTTGGCACTTATGGCATTTGCGTACGTTTCGCTRCGTATCCTCCATCATGGTTGGCCAGTAGAAGCCTAACTGTAGGATATGGTTGTGTAGCGCTAGTTGTCCTTGATGGGCTGCAAGTTCAGAGCTATGAGCTGCCTCTAGCACCTCATCGATCTCATCACCAACTAGGCATCGCAAAGATTTTCCAGTGTATGATTTTCTATATAACATTCCATCCTAGAGGTAAAACTGCCTAGCTTTGGATTGTAGCCTCCTCAGTGTGGTGTCAATGGGCAATGTGTGGTCTTTCAGATATTCTATATACATCTTCCTCCAGTCCTCCTCACAAACCACGAGGCATTCTCTTCCGTCCACTTGCGGGATGCATTTATCACATTCCCATTGCACCTTGGTAGAGTCCCACTTCATCGCAGGCCAGTAATACCCTAACCTTTGTAATTTTCGGAATAGGGTATGTGTGACATCCCCACAATTGGTTTTGTGCACTTCGTTCAACATTGATTTAGCTTTTGCTTTCCCTAAGCATCTCATTCTCACTCCATCTGACTGTTTGTGGTAACCCAATCCCTCAGGGTGAAGGTTGGTTGTTTATCAACTGACTGAATGGTGATCTCTATTGGCTTTGTGGTAGCTTGTATATGGGACCCTAATGTGGCCAGCGTGTCAGCGGACCAGTTTTTGGCTCTATTTTGGTGTGTGAAGTCTACATCCAGGTTGCAGACTAACCTCTGGATCAGGGTCCTATATGATAGGATGGTTACCTCCTTTACTATTGTACTTCCATCAAGCTGTCCGATCACTAGTTTAGCATCACCAATCACCTTTATCTTTTTTTGCACCAGCTTTTATTGCTTTGATCAAGCCAAGGACCAAGGCCTAGTACTCGGCTATGTTGTGTGAACAGGGGAACTGGAGCTTAAAGGAGTAAGCGGACGTTTATCCATTGGGTGAGGTCAGTGTTACCCTAGTGCCAGCCAAGGTGCTAGTGCTACTCCCGTCGATGGTTAGGACCCACTCGTTGCTTTCAACCACAGTGATCATGGGCATTTCTCTAGGTACTTCAGCCGATATGGAAAAATCAATAGTGGAGGGGAAGACATCCAATAGATCTGTCGTTGCTTGGCACTTGATATCCCTTGGTTGGGTGTACTCTATCGTGTATTCATTGAGCTGCATCATCCACTTGACAAGTCTACCGGAGAGGGGAGGTCTGTTCATGAAGAACTT